TTTTTTTTTCTCTCTTGTAAGTTTTTGACATATCATCCTCATTAAATTATGTAGACAGCGTGTTTTTTTATGAAGTAGTTGCGATCTTAAAAGTAGTATCTGGATTTCCTGGTAATTTGAGAAGTAAACTAACAAAAGGTCTCAATAGTGGGAAAATTAGCTTCCTGGAAAAACTAAATTCAAACCACAGAGAGAGCTTTAGAGTATATAATAAATCTTAACATTTCAAATTCACATTTAACAAAACTACTATGTAACGAACTTTTGTTTATTTATTTGAAACTGAATTTGCTTAGGTATTTCTAGAGAACGGGAGTTAACCACATAGTCACGGCGTCAGCTGCAGGAGTTGTGGATGTCACGAATGAGTTTTTTGACATGCCGAGATTTCCAAGTTTTGAACCATGTAAGTTTGTTTTTTTGTTTTGAGGATTGAAACAAAAAGTGGCACTTAAATGTGCCATCAAAGTTCATAGGTTATTTTCAATTTTTTCAACAATATTTCTTGGGAAAAATTATGGGTCCGGTTACCATAACTGTGTGCATAAAGTTATGAACATTATAACGCAGTAAGTGATTAACGTATTGTTTCAGCATCTATTCTGCCTTTCACCGACCAAATGACGTTTTTGGAGAGAACCGTCAACTTCGCCACCATTCTCATCCTTCGTATCGTTGTCAAGCAAATAATGCGCAAATATGAAGTAAGGGTTCATACATTGCATTCCATTTTCGGGAAAACTCATGATTATTAAGGATATGTTGGGATGGCATGGAATATACAGTAGAATTGAAGATTACAAAGCAAGGACGAACTACATTTTATCAAATTCTGATGAATTTCTCGAATTTGCTGTTCCCACTTCTCAGAGAATCGTTCACGTTGGTGGCATAGCACTACCGGAAAAAACCGAATTAACAAAAGTGAGTTCAAAATTTGAATGAATCTAAGGTTTTTTGTCTTAATCCTAACGATTCTATGAAGGAGTTGCGTGACCTCATGGAGAGAGGAGACAGAGCAGGTGTTGTGTACATATCGTTTGGGACGATCGTGCCTACAAAAGATGTAATAATTATCTTATCTTAGTTTACCGCTAAAATTTCTATCCTATTCGCTTTAACCTACGCCAGATTTGAATTTGGAGAGAAAATTCGTGTGGGTATTGTATTGTTACATCCTTGATTGCAACATAATTGAATCATTCATTGTTTTATTGAATGTGCACCTTAAATTTTTTATATATTCAAGTTAGAGTGGAAATTACTTGAACGCCGTTAGCATATAGTAAGCTCTTGTTTTTAAAGTTTTGTACTCCGAAAATGAAATTGGTTATTTCAGATGCCTTCTCATTTCAGAGAGGCTATCTTCCATGTGGCGAAAACGTTCCCTCAGATAACTTTTCTTTGGAAAATGGATGCTGATGACGAAGCTCCCTTAATACCGAACTTACACTCATTCACTTGGGTCCCGCA